ATTCTATGAGTCTATGATTCTATGATGTTACAAGGAAATTAAAAAAGATGAAGAGAGGATATCAAAAAGTCACCAGGACCAGAGACTTAATCAGAGATAGTCCATCAAGCAAAAAAGGAAAGAGATACAAAGCTGAGGAAAGGATATTGTGTAAACCACTTCTTCAAAATAATTATGTGATTTGTTTTGTTTTGTTTTAATCATCAATAACGTGGTTGTAGACTCCTCAGGCATTTCATTCACATCATCCCAAAGAACAGTGTATAGAGGGAAATGTTAAAGTCTGGAACAGAAAGATGGTGAACTAAGGATACTGCAAGATATGTTACTCTCATGTCTGTCATCTTTCATAACATGGAACACTGCTCATGTTCACAGATGAAAACGGATTGGCTGGACCAACCAGCGTTGAAAAGAAATTCATTGTTGCTTACAAAACAGAAAATGAATTGATTAATTGCATTTGTTTTAACTGTAAGGAATTGAATAATTGCATTTGTTTTAACTATTGTTTCTTTTTTAATGAATTTTAATCATGGTGTTTTAGCAGCACAATATTTGTGGAAAGAAAACTGAAATGGGAATCCTATAGAAACAAAGCTCCAGGTTTGCATGCACAATTATTCCCGATAATTAATCTTGCATTTATCCAGGAACAGACATAATCAGCAAGCAATTCTGAGCCACAATGACCCAGTCTGGCTTACATGTTCAGCATCAAGAATCTCACTATAGAGAATGGCTTGTTGTTAACTCTTAGGAAAATAAGTAAATGTTAAAAATGCATACAAAAAGATAAAACATCCACAGAAGCAGATGCATGTTAAATGAAATATAAAAAAGGAATACATGGGATATTTGCATCATACATTTATGTTCATTATAAACTGGTTTTGGATTTCCAATAATGTTCAGATGACATGGATTTAAGTGAAATACTATTACAACATTTGTGAAAAAAATTTTTTTTGTTGTTATTTTTAATGCATATTTCTCACAGGAAGAATTTGTATTATTCCAGGAACATGAATTTTACTGCTAACACTTCTCTTATCACAATACCTTCATATCCCTGTCCTCAACAAATAAATATTATATTTTTATTTCCGGGGTTTATTTGTCTGTCAAGATCAGTCACTGAGTTGCAGAACAAAATGTAAAGAAGTTCACTAGAACTACTTACCTTCAAGCACAGAAAATAATCATGCAGCAAGACTTCCTGATTATTCTGTTATGACTGAGTGGAGTCCAACTTCTGACCCATTTTAGTTTTTGCAGGAACTCATATTAAACAACTTTTTTGTCCAAGCAAAGTAAATGGTTTCATGAAACTAGGTTATTCAGCTATATGAGGATTTGAAAGAGCTTGCAGCATCTGCATCACATATGGAAGCATGAAGGGAAAACTTTCTTTCATGTTTAAAAGTTGCTAGATAAATGAGGAGAGTATGCAACCATGTCTCCTCATTATACACACCAACTGCAGGTATTTTGGTGACACTGCAGTAGATGATTTTCCCCCACATTTTTTCAGCCTCCTGAGAACTCTTCCATCTTGCGAAGCAGATTCCTCTTCTCTGTGTTCTGCCAGCCATGTAATAAGTACAAAGTTTTAAGATGCCAAAACAGCCCAACTTTTCTACAGCTGACAGTAAAATGTATTACTGTCACTCTGTCCTCTGTCTGCTACCAAATACTATTGCAATACCCTTCTCAGTCCTTCTGTGGAAGAAGACTGAAGACCCTAAAGATCCAAATCATCCTATGAAGATATTTCTTCATTAATTAACAATCATATCCAAGACTCAGGTAAGTCAAGATAATTTCCTTTGAAAAGAACAGTTTGAGGAGAGGGAAGAATACTGAGAAAGTAACTTATGAAAGACAACATTGAAAAAACATGGAATAAAATCCCATAGTACTGACAAGACTACCCTGAAGGGTCAAAGAATTAGTAAGAGATCTGGAGAAAGTGCTAGCCTTTTATTTTTGAATCTGTCTACACCGTAAAAACTTAAAGAAAAAAAAAAAAGGAAAAAAATTACTTCATCTGAGCATCTTTAATTGGTCTTGCACTGTTTAGGATGTTCCAGGTGAGACAGAGAGGCTTGCTGGGATTTGTGGGAGATGATTGAACTTCTAGTTATGATTGAGAGGACCTCACTGCCTGTCTTCCTCCATTGCAATTCTGACTTTTATTACCAACAACACGGAAATACTTTTTCACAGCACTTTTTCTGCCTTTCAACTGCCTTCCTGCCCTACTTCTATTGCATTTTTATTGCCCCCATCTGTCCAAATTATGCCATCAGCAACTACAATATTTTTATAGGAAGAAAATATAGATATTTCTAGCATATGGATTTAACATGTTTGCTTGCTATAATTGTTTGTAAATAGATTCATTATATCAGGATCACTGAATTTCACAGTTTCTCAATAGACTCCTTTTTGTAAGCATTTGCAGCTTGAAATACAGCTTTAAGATAGCTGAAAGGAGAAAGATATTGTGAGGGGGATTTCTTCCTGCTTTATTGCATTCTTTCTGTCATTTACTACTGCTGCCATTTGCAGAAGAAATGTATAAAAAAACCACACAACATGGGCAGTATAAAATTCATAAGCACCTTTGAACATACAATTGCACCTTAAGATTTCTTTTCATAAACTGTGTAAGGACAGAATCTTCTCAGAAAAACAACTCTTCTTATAGAAACACCAAACATAAAAAATGTGTACAGGATGAGTTTAACAGCAACTCTGTCAAAGACAAGATCCTAATGACCATTAACGACCATGAACTTCAACAGTAAACAGAACCAAGCCATATTTAAATAAGAATGGCTGAAATGACACAGTGCAATCCAACACCTGCCATGAATCTTGCCCAATCATTTATGAATAAAATTGAATTTCCAACTGCAGTTATGGTCCTTCTCCAAAAGAAAGAATTTTTATAGACAATCTAACCTACTGGTGCCAACCTTCAATTTTCTGGATACTGAAATGCCAGTTCTTTTTCTATGGCTTGAAATAATCTATTAATGTTGAGTTGCACCTCATTCATGCTGCTCTTGATATGCTTCTGAAAAGAGGGACATTCAAAGCAGCATTTATGTTTTGAAGGAAGAAAGAAAACAGTGGAGTCAAAAGATTTTTCACTGCTGGAGGGTGACCGGTGTGCTCTGCATCCTACTGACATAGTGGTTTACAACAAACCTGAATGTATGCAACCGAGTGAGAGAAAATTACGATATGGGAACAACCATATGGAGACTTAAGTGCTATAATCAGGATTTTAATTGAATGCCTCTCCTGGAGGTTTCAGACAGGTTCAACCACATCTGGAAGAAATATTAATGTCTGCTGTGTGGTATCAGTCCAGAAGATTGTTGGATTCAAATGGTGAAAGATCATTGCATAAGCAATGAATCGTCCCTTAATTTTAAGACTGTTAGGTTGTAAAAGAACAACAAGTTTTGAGATTTAATAATAAATACTTCAGAAACTGAATCAGCTACAGAACCAGCTAATCTCCACCCTTGTTATAATGGATTTTACCTATACATTATCTGCTTTTTATATGGATAATAAATAGGATCATTGAATGGTTGGTCAAATGGTTGTATCACAATTTCTTGAAGAGTTCATGTGAGAAAATACTTTATGTATACTCAACTTGAATTATTAATCCCTCCCTGATGCCCAGCAATTTTTCAGGAAGAATCAGTTTTTTTCTGAAGAACTGCCTTCTTTCTCAGAAGTATAGGAGCAACAGCATCACCATTACAAAATCTTTTTTGTTACCTCATCAGTCTGAAGAGACAATTGGAAGGCTTCTAAGCAAGCACCTGCAAACCTCATTAGAATCCCACAGATTTTGAAATTTAGAAGAGCTGATTCAACGCCTGTGCTAGGATTCCTGCTCCTTGCAAGCTGTGCTAATGCAATGTTGTGATCCAGTGCCCTTGCTATTGTAAACATCTTTAGGAGGTCCCTGTAAACCCAAACATACCAGACTAAGCTTGCATTTGTGCTAAACTTTCTAAATATGTTTTTAACTGGAGAAGGCCTATACTTTTAAGCCATACATTCCCATACTGCTGGTCGAGTTCACTTAGGAGTATGGATCTAGATATTCAGCAAATAACTTGTTTATATAACAGTATAGAGGTTCTTTAAGTTGCAACTTAAATCAAAATCAATTTATCTTCTATGTCATTATACCACAAAATTTCTCCTCTAGAAGAAAGTATCTGCTTTAGGATAAGCACAATCATTCTTTGGACTCCGCTCACTGATTCTAATAGGAGCTTAGTCACCATAATGCTAACAGACACTCACATTTAGACACCTATACCAGGAATCTTGATCTTAAATTTAAAACCACCGAATGGGAAGTGCACCCTCAGATCTGAGAAAATAATTGACTTGAGAGAATTTTAGTAGCCAGTAGAAAGTGATAATAGGTTGTTTAATTTTCAGAATTTAAGACTATGATAAACTTTCCTCTCACTTTTATGCTGTCTTCAAACTCTTCCAATGTTAACAAAGTCATTCCCAATTTACAATTAACAATGTAAGAGCAAAACATTTTTTCTTTGAAAATGGAACCATTATGTAAAACATAACAAATTTACCTTATGTGAGTGGAAAATAAGTTTTCTGGGAGAAAATGTTCAAGGTGGGCTAAAGCATCTCCACAGAAATTGTTTTCCAGTGGTAAAAGGTATTCATGTCCAGTTTGTTATAATCATCAACTTCCAATTTTCAAACTGTCATAACACACTCACAGACTGTTATTACATAGTCATTGACAAAGAAATGTTGATGCAATGATGAAGCTTTCAGAAGCCTTTGGAGTACTAAAGTGTGCTCAGATCCTTAGTCATGGAGCACATCAATCTGATGCAATTATTAAACATACAAATTATCTAAAAATTTGTTAGGCTTATTTTACTGATGAAATGGCTCCAGGATTTAAACGATTCATTACTTACCCCTGTTCTTTGAACTTCCAAGAAAATCGCTCTTTGAAATGATTTCTCCCACACCGCCAACTCGCTGCCCAGCTCTACATTGAAATAATGACTCTTGCCATGTCCAACCATAACACTGAAACAATATGGCCTCTGGTCTTCAAGATCAAAGTCCTGATGAATACCTAAATACAAGTTTGCTTGTAGCCAGCAATCATCAGCAAGCCAGAGCTGAAAGACATGTTTCAGTATGTGATTCTTCATCTAGCAAAAACAAACAGTTAAAGCAACATTGTCTTCTGTAAGTGATGGGTACTTGGATACGTTATGTCATTATATTAGCAATTACCTTGACAAAATGTTCTGAGAATTAAGTAATAATTTCAAAGACAACTTCTCTCTTTGCTTCTTATTCACTTTACCCTGTATCACGCAATCCGAGCTACTTCTGCAGTTCCAAAATACTGTCAAAGTTACCTAAGCAATACATTCATAATTTCAAAGAAATTTGTAGCAATATATTGCTATACAGTGAAAAGGAAGGAAATGCCTGAATTGTTTGAATACAATTCAAGAGCTGTGTACCAGCTTTTAAGGATAATATAACTACTTTGTTCTAATTGGGTTCCAATATGCTAAGTACCAAGGAATGCAGTAATTTATCAAGCACCCAAGGGCTAACTGCGGAAATGACAACATAAGCTTTCAAATGTCCCCTAACGCTGCCAATGCTGCTCTGCAGCTACATGGGGAGTGAAGTGAGATCCTGCCATCAACTTCAAGACGAAGAGGAGAAACTTCACATTAGTCTTTTATAATAAAAAATATTCCTGTAACAGAATGTTTTGTAAATGAAAACAAATTCTTACAAGAAACTTCCCCAATCTTTCAAGACCTCGTTGATTAGCATAAATACATTGAAAAAGAAAAGTAAATAAAAAAAGCTACTGCTTATACATTTGAGTACTTTCACTGACTGAATTTCCAAATTACGCATTTTTTAAAATTTCTATTTATCAGATAGGGCCCTTTTTTATCTCCATTTCTCTATGATGGCATGGGGCAGAAAACAGTGAAAGAACAAAAAAAGTAATTTGCAAAGAGAATTTTGTTTCTTATTTTCTAAAGTCACCTGCAAACAGAATTTTCTTTCTCTAGCACTCCAGGTTAGGTTTAGGAGACTTGACCCTAGGCAAGCAGATCTAAGGTAAAAGCAGTTATGTTTGACTGGGCCTAGGTGGCTTTGAAAAGACCAGAAAGCAGCTTTGCAGTGGTACCCAAGTCCTAGAATCTTGTAGTCATGGTAAGCCTTATAAAGATTTAGAATTTATTTTTCCAGAACCTCTAATAGTCCATCATAGCCTATTGAGGCTATAGTTGAAACTCCATGCACATGAAAACAAACAAACAACTGGAATTTGAGCATCCAAATGTAATGTAAAATATTCTGATACATGTAAAATAAATGCTTAAATGTTCAGGGTCTTGTGTCCCTCCTGTTCTAGATGCATACACAGCTGCCCTCGCAGGACAGCAGTGAAGATCCACTTTTTAGTAATGAAAAGCAGAGGAAACAAATGCTCTGCTAGTACACCCTCCTCTGTGTACTGCTCTCATATTCACAAATACTCAGATGGGAACTGAAAAATTTGCTTGTGCTGGTGAATTACTGAGTAACATAAAGCTGGCAAATGTAACCTTATGCAATTTACTCAAGTCTAGTCTGTTAGGCTATGGATGTTTTGTGGGGGACCTCAGAAGCAGCACGTCATGCCACCAGGGTACACAGCACTTTGTTGTCAAAAATGGCCCTGCAGCTACCTGAGAACAGTCTTGAGGAAATTCAAAGTTATTTCTCAATGCTCCTTTGGACTGGTGAAAAGGAAGCTGAACAAAATACCTGCATGTCATCTGGTGTTCAGCGGCCATGGAGCGACAGGTATTACACCTACATGTGCTTCAAGACTCAATACTGCTCATTCTGGCTCATAGACTACTATATTAATATTTTTTACTTTGTGTGTGAAAATACCACGCAATAAAAGAAAAAAAAAAGTTTTTAAGACAGGTGGCTTTTAAAAATATATCTAATATTCTCACCCCTGAAAAATACAGGTTTTCAGCAACAGTTCTAGTAAATACGGAGTATGAGGCAAGGTATGGGAAGACACACATGAGATAAGAGATCACATTTTCAATCATCTGGTTGTTACCACTAAATGTCCATGAACATGCAAGTACATGATATATTGATGAATTCACGTACTTGCATATGCATGTTTGTGTATGCAAGTGTGTATTTATATGTATGTATGTATACACACACACAAATCTAAAATATAGCAAACATTTTGTTTTAAAATGCCATTTCCATATTGGATTCTTATTTTCCATGTTTAACTCTTCTGTCATAATAAACATAGATGAGAAGCTTACAATTAGGTGAGTAACAAGTGCGCCTCACCTTAAAAGCCATCTTTCATGAGAAGATACAATAGCACTCTCCACCACAGCTTTGCACTAGTTCTAACCAGCATCTGAAAATCCTTAAGAACACCCTCCCCAAATGGCAGTTTTTACAACATAAACTCTATCTTTCAGGCTGTAATGTCGAAATCCTAATATCTTAAGATTTTTTCTGTCTTTTTGGATTTGTTCAGTTTGCCTCATCATCATTTATATCAAAGAATCAACAGAAAAGAGGTTAAGGTGTTGAATTTGAGCTTTTGCACTTTAGCTAATGTATTCATGAAGACTGGCAATTAAGCATTCATTTATTAAAATGTCAAGAACATTAAAGAGTTGAATCTTGGGTATTTCATTTCACACTTCTTTTTCTTAATGAAGAAGTATCATGGAATTTGCTTTAAGGATAGATTGTCCTTGAAATTACCAGAATATTCAAGGAAGGACCGAGTTTCAAATCGGCAGTAACATTTCAAGGAGAAAAAAACAAAAACCAAACCATACTAGACTCTTTTAAAAGGGCATAATGTGTACATATTTCATTGCTGCCTGACTTATTTATCAGTAAAAAGTAAATTTTAAAAAAGATTAAGGAGAAATTATCTGGGACAGAGCCTCTGCTCTTTGCTACTGTGATGGGCAGGACCTGAAGTTCCCCACGTGTACCCAGCTGGAGACATGGTCACATTGAAATAATGCTATGCTGACAAAAATATGGCTGTACTCCTGCAGCCTGCACTCCAGAGCTGAGCTCAAGTCCCAGACTCCAGGATTGCTATTTTCCTGGCATGGCACTACCCAAGACCCTTCCCTCTCCCCACTTTTGCCAGAGAAGGGAACCTTCCTCCCCTATCCAGTGACAGCAGGCTTACAACAGAGAAAAAAAACAGGCAGTGGTGGGCTGCAAAACTGACAGCTGACATCAGCAGAAGCTCTTTTAGCAGTCTCTTAACGGAACTGACACCTCTGTAAAATGCAGATGTCAGCTCATGTTTGAGAGCTTTTTTTTCTAGATTTCTGTCAAGTTCTGTGTGCTCCTTGCTCTGTCAGTTGTAACTTTATCATGTTTTCAATTTATCTTTTTTCTTTTTTTAAATCATAATCAACAAAATTGGTGTAGGAAACGTGCCTACATTGTTGAAAGTCAGTTTGGGACAAGTAGTTTGAGCAGTCAGAACATGGAAACTCCCTGCCATCCCATTCTTTGAAGAATTTGGTCATTTAGTGCTACAGAGAACTACAGAGAACTCCCTCCTATCTGCTGAGCAGAGGAATAAAGGGGAATAGAGTGTAATTGTCAGGTCCATGATTTTTTTTTTTCTTCTTTTCACTTTTCCTTCTTTAAGTTGTCCTGAATAACTGTGTTGCTTCAGAAAAAAACAAACAAAAAAAACCCCTTAAGCAGTTCTCCTTGTGCAATGTTAAGTCAGGATCTGTACAGGTAACAGAGCAACAACCTTCCTTCTCCACAACATTAGTACGTGGTCAAAAGAGAGAAGGACAGCAGTTGGTGAGAACTAAAGCTGATTTGTGATTTTTCAGTGAAACAGCATTTTATCTGAAAAGACTGATCTCCCCTCCCCACCCTGTCCCGATAATATGTTTGGTTTTACTTTCTTAGGCAAGTAGGCTCTCATCTCGCCTTACCTCACCTGCAAAGCAGTTTTTGATTAGCTGGTAGAGAACTAAATTAATCTCTCTGATGCAACTTACCAGAAAATATCTTCTGTAAGTCAATTATTTAAACAGACTGCTAAGGTTTTGCCCAAAATCCTTGCCTGGGACAAGCTAAACAGAAAACACAACACTGTCTCTAGGCGGTGGAAAAAGTGAAGAATTCTATGGTACACAAATGCACCGTGTTGCCCTTTGTAAGGTAAAACCTACTATAATATTTGCAAATTACATATAATCTAAAAAGGACATAATTTTATACTTTTAATTACTGAAGTGAAATAAAAGTAGCTTTATATAGATCAGGAATTACAGCAAAAGCATTCTTCATCAGATTCTCTTAAAAATCTGAGCCACTAAGGAAAAAAGCAATATCCAGTTTTGTTATGCTTAGCTGTGTGTCTCACCCATACTTCATAAGACCAGCTCTAATAGTGAAAAAAGTCTTAATATGGAAGCATTTTAGTAATTGCTCACTTGGAGCTTAATCCATTTTCCATATTCTCTTATACTTGCATAGCTAATGCACTAGCCATTACAAATAGTTCTTTTTTAACAAACAGAAAAACTATTTGAATGTTAGCTACTCCTAGTTAAGATTAACTTGAGCTTATCATTAACAGGAAAAGGCAAGCTTTCTTCACTAAATAATATAATTGTAATTGTTAGGAAACCTACCTTGTGAATTTTAAATAGAACCTCACAGAGGTTATAGATTTTTTCAGCTCGTACCCAGTCTAGTGTGCTTACCTATAATATCAAAAGAAAATATTAACAACACATTCTTTACTCTAAAATCGTGTACAGATGAAAAAAATTAAAAAGATTTCACCCATCAATATTCTACTGGATGCTCTAAATATAGGCATGTTACTACATTTTATATCCAGCATTTAGAAAAGACTGTCAAATAACATTCAGTTTTTACAGAAACAGCATCTACAGGAGTCTTACTATAATTAAAAAGTATTAAATAATTTCAACGATTTTTTCCCCATTATTACTACGGTATGATCAAAACCTCTTTGTAATCTCTGTGGTGAGTTACGCGAGCATATTTATTTTCCAATATGCTAACACAGAGAACCCAGAGTCTCAAACCCAGAGCCATTCAGCTTCATGTCTCAATTTAAAAAAAATCTTACAATTAACAGACCAAGATGCGCTCCTAAATTTAGGTTGGAGTTTACATACACTAGAGCACCAATATATTAATATTTATATTAAAAACTGAAAAGGACTATGTGACTGCAATATTTGAAATTAAGAAGAATGTCAACTGTATGCTTAATAATAAATACAAAAAGACATTTTTTATTTTCTTTTGATTTTGTTACTTTATCCTGTCGACATGACACACTGTTAAAATTTGACAGAATGATACTTGAAGTTTTTCCCTAAATTCTAGTTCATGATACAATGTGGTAAACTGTTTTCTTTTAAAAACAGTACTAGCCTATGTAGTTCAAGAAAAAAAAAAAGAACCTATACATAGGAAAAATACAAGGGGAATACACTTTGTCTTGATTATATATTTTAGAGCAAAATCCTAGCTCTTGGTGAATGCACAGGAATGGCTGCACAGATATATGAGGAATTTGACTAAATTGTAGCTCTGAGGCTTTAGCATGTGGAAGTAAGTGTTTTGGTGACTCTAGTAGAAACTTGGATACTTTAAAATGCTAGAGCAGATGCAGCTTTGTCCTGTTGCTGCCCCCCCTCCCAAAAGGAAGAAAGCAGAAAAATTAAATTAAATTATATAGGTAAAGCAAAATTTGGCTGTAAAACATCTGGCTTCTGTGGATGAAACTTAACTATGAAAAAACTATGAAATTCAATAACAGATTCTTTTTCTCTATATTCATAGTAGCACATAGTTCACCTATAACAATCAGTCTTGTTCCTGATGTTTTGCATGAAACATGCATAAAAACACGAGTTTTTAAAATTTATTTTTAAGTTGAATTTCCAGGTCTTCATAAATTCTAAATCATTTAAGCAAAATAGTAATAAAATGGTGAAAATCCAAAACACTAAAACACTTAGGGGCAGACTGATGTGACTTGTACTGGTTATTAAATGTTACTTCAGAGTGCTGTTGGAGGAGTAAGGTGAACTTGGTGTTAGTTTCTTTCTAGTCTTATATGCTCTTATGTCTAGTCCAATTGAAACTAATGAATATTATTATCGAGTAGACCTCACAGCTATGTGTTTCAAAGCAGTTTCAGAATTTACCTGAATTCTTTCTTCTTAGTATGGAAAGCATCCCACCTAAATTTAGACATCAGAAGTATCTAATCTTAACAACTGCCGTGGTTTAACCCCAGCAGCAACTAAGCACCACACAGCCACTTGCTCACTCCCCCCCCCAGTGGGATGGGGGAGAGAATCAGAAGAGTAAAAGTGAGAAAACTTGTGGGTTGAGATAAAGACAGTTTAGTAAGTAAAGCAAAAGCTGCGCATGCAATAATCAAATCTTAAGTTCACCATAATGGGAAAGAAGAAAAAAAAAAAAAGAAAAAAGGCAGTGCTTGCTCACAGTTTCTCTAACTTTAGATTAGATCTTTAACTTCTAGATGACTAAATTTAGATGAGATGGATCACCTGTTGCAAATGGGACTGACGACCTCTAGAACAGAAAGTTCTGTCACTACATCTTTTCAGGATATAAAGGGACTTATATTCTAGGATTCTCCATTTGACAGTTTTTATATGTTAACAATCAAATGACAAACACCGCTTGAATATAATACATGTGGTAGAATATGTAAAAGCATGTTATATACTTTCTGTTTTATTATGACCAATTTCTCATCATAAATTAAAGCTCAAAACATTACATATAGCTACCTTTAAAAGTACTTAGTACTACTTTAAAGGAACTTTGTCAAATGTAAATTTATTGTTAGCTTTTTTAGAAAATTAATTTAAAGCAATTTTAGATATTATACTTGTCCTCCCATCACTTCATAAAATGGAGCAAGTTTTAGAGTCATACATTTCTAAGTTTTAGATTTCTGTTACTCTTTTCCTTCTAGTAAGGTCCATTCACCATTTTGTTTGAGATTTGCTTATTGATTATTGCTAAGAGTAAGCAATAACACACATTTAGAAACAACTGAAACTGAGGAATTATGAAGCCAATTCATAAAAAAATATTATACATTTAAACATGCTCACACAGAGCAAGTACTGCAGGTCTTTGCTTAATCCTTATTTACAGGGAAATATTTTTTACTTTGATGGCTGTTTTGAAAAGAAAATAACTAAATAATGCAGGTTTTGGCCCATTACTGTTGATCCTCAAAAGGGATCTTCATGCTTCTTGCAAAATAAGACCTAGAATAGTGGCTAGTTCATTATTTGGTCTTGAATTTCTCAAAGGGAAAGATTCTTTTCAATCTCAGTTCAAAGCAGGAGAATCCTTCATTCCTAGTAGTGGCTAGACAAGATATAAAAGCATAAGCACCAACTTAATCTGCTGTTTATGAAACTGAATTTAGTGACACAGGCTATTACCTAAAAGATGTTGAGACATGACGGAACTTTCATTTGCTCATATCATTTGTTTTGGATCCCTGAAGATTAATTTAAACTGTTGGGGTTTTTTTGCTGGTATTAATGATGCTACCATGGACAATGGTGACACTGCTGTGCCATTAAATTCACTCTGAATACTTCAATCTTCTCCACATTATCCTGTGCATCTCTTTCATCCTTCAACTCCCTGTAACCTCTTATGACTTTTTCAGCAGAGATAGTTAGTGATGATGATAACTGTCAGCACCTATATAGGCCACGATTTTCTTTTACTCTGTATGTCAGAGAAAGGCTACCATACTTAAAGCCAAGAGTGAAACAGTCTGAATATCAGAGTGTGCAAGGAAATCAGGAGAACATGAATGACATGTTGAGAGAAATTTTAAGGAGGGGAAACAAACATACTACAAAGGGGTACTAGAATCCAGAGAGACAGCTGACACTATATATAGTTTTCTCAGAACCATCATAGTATGCCTAAATTTAAAATGTTATTGTTATATACTGCATTGCTTTAAAAAAATCACAAATGATCACATACTTCTAGTCAATGAGAAAAGCTGGAAAGAATCAGAAAAGTTCACAAAAAGTGCAATAGCCTTCATTTGCTTTAAAGGATGTTTCAGTTTATTGCAGGCTTATCCGTCATCACACATTTAATAACTGGGTAATGATTAGTAACTAAGATAAATGAGATACTGAAATATATTCCTTAGGCAATAAAAAAATTTTTTGCATTATTTCCCCTTGGAATTGTTCCTGTAGGTATGCTATACATTGCAATTTCTTGGGTTTATTTTAGCATGACAAAATAATAATTTTTTAGTAAAGCATTTGACAAAAGGTTTCAAAAAAGGTATATTCAGAATGGGTCACTTAATGAGACATACTTCCATTCATATGAATTTAGTTCTGACAAAGTGTCAAAAATAGTGTCAAAATACATGAAAGTACCAATTAGCATTCAATGAGCTTTCAATTTAATTCTTGCTTGTCTAATACATGAATTTATGACCAACAGTAGCTGAATGCTATTATTATTATTATTGGAAGACCAACTCCTTAGCTAACTCAATGCATTATGTGAAGTATTGAATACCTGGTTTTGTAGATATTTGGCTATATTAATCCTTTCAGAAAGATTGTAAAATAACACATTTGTAAACTCACACATAACACTGAGCTGATTGCAGATAGAAAAATAGGAACCTGAAATTACAATTTTAAGTCCATAATGAGAGACTGAAATAAGTATGTAGAGTTACAAAAGTGCTAAGTGTTACAGAAGTACTTTTTACTTCAGCGTGAGTTTCCGTAAGCTCCTTGTGTTTTAAAAACAGGCATTATAGTGGATTCCAAAAATAAACAAACTACTAAAATCTAGTTTTACTTAGTTAGACCAAGTGATCTCAGCATCAGTTCAGGCTCATATTCCAAATATACTTAGCTTTAAATGTGTGTGTTAAACACTGATTTTTCTTTAAAAAGTTATGATTTAAAATAGAGAGAAACCAATAAAGTTAAATTCATTTTGACACAGACATGTAGTAAACAACAAACTGAAAAAGTTAATGCCTAGAAGAGAATTCTGCTATTACAGAATAGGCATGGAAGACTTTCATGCCTATTCAGAGATTAGCACTGAAGGATTGACTAGACATGAGAAATAAATATGGGGTGCATGTAAAAGAGAATCACACTTCAAAACTCACTAAAGTCAAAGGGAACATAACATACTTTATGACTTTCTAAGCACACTGAATCTGATTCTAGATATCTCAAGTACCCCCCAAAATATTAAAAAGTCTTGAATACATTTAAAGAGTAAAACTTAAGGGAAAAAAAGACCAAAGTGGCTGTAATACTTATTACCAGAATACAGAGAATGCTGCATTATCTGACAATTAAGCAGAAGCATCCAACCCACCTAGAAGTACTAAACAGGTCTAGGCAAAAGATGAAATACTTTTAGGTCAAGTGTAATTAATTTCACTGGTCTCATCACTCTTCAATGGAAAAAATGAGCCAAGTATAATTTTAAAAAATTGAAATATTAAAAAGTAAAAAAAAATATCAAGTAATGTTCTTGAGATGAACTATGATACAGCAGTATAAGAAGCCTAAAGATGTCCAAAACAACTCAAACTCGTTGCTACAAATCACACACAAAAGAGCAGTCAAAATAAACAAAACTAATAGAACAAAATAAATAAATACTTGTGTGTAGAGTTAGAAAGTTCACCAAAAGCATTCATGGTCAAGTGTATGCCCTCCAACTCATTGCCACCTCTTTCCTAATATGCTACATTGACATTATGTATAATGTAAATTACAAATACAAGTATTTAGAACTTACACAGCAGTACTCTCTAACATTCAAAGCATCGCTCGTGCTAATTACATTATGCAAGCTCTTCTTTCCTGCCATGTTTTTCAAAGGTGGAACTATTTCTGTTACTTTCACATTATTCTTGTATTTATTCCTTTTCTTAAAACTATAAGCAGCATATGCAGTGATTGCCTAGCTGCCTTCATGTAAACCACTTCACTGTTATTTAATCATGTTGAAAAAGAGGTTTGTAATTAAGGGTAACACAACAGCTCCAAAGATATGGCTACTTTAAGACTTGAATTTAAAAACCATCTTGAACTATGAAGAAGACATAAAACGTCAAACAGTAAAAACCTCCCCTACATAAAGCCCATATTCCATCAAAAGAAAACATTTCATTTTTCTGGAAATTTTCAATGACATAAAAAAAAGTTTATTCTTGAATGACAATTTTGAATAAAGTCTCTTCAATTTCTTTCCAATTTCAAGATCTGAAAATTGACAGAAATTTATTAGATGCTTTTAGAATGTACTAAAATACTGCTTGTATATTAATGTTGACACAAGAATAATTTCTATTTGTGCAATGGTGTTTTTGACGTGCAGTTTTCAGAAATGTGTCACAATTCTAATGCAGCTATGTGTAAATGAAATTTGTAAATTTCTTAAATACAGTCAGATAAGCCACTTTAGGGATGCAGAAAGACCATTCTCTGTTAATCACATGGCTCGATATTTACTTCTGTGGTGAATCTTCTACATTTTTGGAAACGCCATCTGAGATATTGTTGAAATGGAGTATAAATAGAATATTACTTGCCATAGTAATTTCTTTCATATTATGATAGCCACATTTTTTCCACAATTTTCTTTATTTTTGCCCATGGGTAAAACTATGTTTTCCATTCTTATGAAAGTTAGCAGCTGTATTTACATTCTTATCATCTTTTACACACAATGAAGTAGAAAAAGAATAAAAATTGTACCAGATCCATTTACAAGCAGTTGTAAAGTTATGGGTAAGGTCATTACAACTAAAAATAACTGTATGACTTGTAGGTAATCTATCCTGTGCACACTATATTGATACATTACATGGATTCAGTATGGAAATAGCAATACCATCATAGAAACATCTCTGAAATGTTAAATTCTTATCTTCTAAAGATCTGTATTTTTTGTGATAGAACAATCAATTTTTTAATGTTTCACTTAACATAGTAAAGAAAAAAGTCATTGGGAGCAGTACCATTAAATATATCTAAAACCAGTGAACCAGCTCTATGCATGGCTTTGTGTGGGGACCTGTTTCCAGCTACAGAGCTGAGACATGTGACACAGAACCAGTGTCAGGGCGCAGCATGGGTTGGTGGCTCCCTGGGTGCTGTGGGAGCTGCCCCGGGATCTGGCAGGGCCAGGTCCTCCCCAGCCAGGGACCATCCCATCACCCTGTAGTGGGCTGACCAACAGCTAAGCACCCACAGAGCTGCTTGCTAACTCCCTGTCCCCCCTGCAGGGGAGGGAATAGGAAGAGCAAAATCAAGAAAACTCATGGGTCAAAATAAAGACAGTTTAATAAGTGATGGAAAGAGGAAAAAACCAAGTGATGCAAAGGTGATCGCACCCTGCCTGCCCCAAGCAGACTGACACCCAGCCAGTCTCTAAGCAATGGCTACTTGTGAAGACCAAATCTCCATTCTTTTATTGCTGAGCATGATGTTTTATGGTACGTAATATGCCTTTCAGCCTATGTGGGTCAGCTGTCCTGGCGGCGTCTCCTCCCAACATCTTGCCCACCCTCAGGGTAAGCCGTGTGAAAAACAGAGAAACACTGTGCAAGCAAAGCTCAGCAACAGCCAAGTCACTGGTGTGTTAGCATTGTTTTAGTCACAGATACAAACCCCACTGCCATATGGGCTGCTATGAAGAAAGTTACCTTCATCCCAGCCAGGCCCAGTGCGTGCCCCCAGCCTGGAGCAGGACAGCCACGGGGACTGGGGGCAGCCCCAGCGCTGGGCACCAAGCACCTCCCTGGGGACAGGGACGGGCTGAGACTGGGCCTGGCTCCTTGGGGCCCATGGCTGCGCAGGACAGGGCTGTGGGGAGCTCCTGACTGGTTCTGCTGCTTTGCTGGGGCAGGGGCTGACGGCTATGGCAGGGCTGCACTAGGGTCCTGGGCTGTAGGAAGGGTGGGGAGAGCCCCAGGGAAGAGGGTCAGGGACAGGCAGGGCGGGAGGTGCCCTCAGGACACTGATAATCATCTTTGAAGTCTGGCTTTAGATCCAGGTTTGAATTCTCCAGGTGGGTGGTTGCTGGAAACTTCCAATTTCCTGTTTTACTTTTTTCCCCTGATATAAAACATCTGTGGAATGATTAAAAAGCAAGAAAACTGGTCAGCAGGTTTTATGATTTATAGGCTCTGTCACACTTCCTGGTATCTGATTACTGGGATGATATTAATCCATTGACCAAAAGGATCCCCTTTCTTCATTTTTCTGAAAAGCCACTGTTTCTACAAACAAATTGTGCAGAAGCACAATAGAGTGTAGTAGATACTGACAAGTAACACAGTACAAATACTACCAAACATTCATCCTCACTTGTCTGTTCTTAGTAGAGTGCTGAACATGGTAAATGAAGTAGTTTATCTCCAATTAGTACTTCACTCGGTAAGGAAAAACAAACCCAGACATAACAAACAGGTTTCCATTTACAATGAAACTCTCACAAAATATTATTTTTTTACCGGTGGAGTGCTGAAAATGTAGAAGGATGAACCCTTCAGTGCCAGAAACTTGAATTTGTAGAGCTGAGATGAATCGGTTCCTTCAAGTCTCTCATTTACCCATCCCATATGGATGACCTGTAAAAGAAAATAATTAAAAAATAAAGCTCTGTTTTTCAGTGGAGCATAAGATATACCTGAATAGGTCAAGTCTTTCCACAAGGAAGAGTGATCATATTAGAATAGGATGCATCATCCCCTTCTTCACATTTGCCTTCCTGCCATAACCATATGCTTGAAGTGTACAGTATCATGCCAGTGTGTCAGAAGTCCTTGAAGAGACTTAAACTTACAGTACAGGTTGAATCTTGTCTGAAATAATCACCATTTTAAAAGCCACCTATACATGTCTCAGCAGACTCTCACTTGAGCCAGCAAAAAACCTAGGCGTACTGAAATAGTTCAGCCAGCAGTTTATAAAAAACATGATCCTATATTATCTATAGCACTGTCAAAACTTGGACATACTGAAATTTCTGTTACATGCACCTCTAAAGAAATACATCTGAACAAATCACTAGATTTATCTGAAATCAAACAGCTTTCTGTATGCTCATGTTTGCTACTGTCAACAAAGTGTCTTTGTCACACTGATTGTCTTTCAGAGTCTATACACTTTTTTTATATACACTTTATCTCATGACAATGATTTATGTTCTCATAGAATTAAATGTCAAATTCAGTTGCTACACAACTTTGCTCTAACAGTATTACAATACATGTATTTGTATTTCAGATACATTAAAAATAAGAAGAAAAAAAAGAAGACTGCATGCTTCCTTTTTGAGGTAAATGCAAATTTATAAAGGAATAATGCCATAGTGTGGTAGTAGAATATCATGACTGTAGTTACCCAACAAAAATAACAATTACAAACATTTTAGGCTTCATTTTGCACACATTAAGAGGAACATATTGCCCTTGAAACAGGTACTCGAATCTAGAGTGATCCACCAATCTGAATACACAGCTATTGCTGATAAGCTTGCTCATTTTCAATTAAGGCTACACTTACGGAAAATACTGAGTTACACAGGGGCAGAAATGTCATAGCACTTGTGAATATACTGAGCCCACAAAGCCCAGTGGGTGTACCTGTAGTTATTACCAAGAGCGCAAAGGTGGAAAGAATGGACAGGGAGTAGCTAATAGTACAGATGCTCGCTCATACTCTTATATCATGAAAAATCTCACCTTGTTTTCTAATTTTGTTATTTAGTGTATCAATTATGTCTCTTAACAATCAACTTATTCAGAAATAAATAATAAATCAATATGTTGAGCCAGACAATCCTTCTCTATAGTATTTTACTGAGCTCTAGCGTTAACATTTTCAGGAGATCTAAGAAACAGCACAATAAATAAATAAATACAGTAGCCTTTCCAGTTCTCACTTTGCTATTGTGTAAATTGAATAACTCTCACAAAAATATTGTTTCTATAGTAGTCAGCAAAGGTTTATAAACAGGATGTTCAGACACTTCATTGCTTTAACAAAATATACTATAGCATTGTTGATAATCTACAAAAACTGTATAATATATTGAGTTTATCAGCGTGGTAATAGAATATCAAATAATACAGACAAAAAGAATAATGTGCAAATCACAGGGTACAAACAATACAATATTCTCCTTCACATTCATAAAGTCATGTTTGCTGACTTGCAAATGGACACCAGTTATTAACCTGTAACAGTATTAAAATCTTTACTAAAAAAGTAATTCACTGATTAAATTGATAAATTGATAAGCAAAGGATATAGCTCTTTATTATGTTCTTTGCTGATCATCACCATCATCACAATTTATTCTTACAGCAGCACTCACCAAATAATTTTGGAATTATCCACAATGTCAGATGGGAAAACTAAGCCATGGATAAAGTCTGCAGCTTGCCCTGGTCATTCGTCAAACATCATATATTAAAGCAAACATGACACATTCTGAGAAATATAACTATATATCTTGTTGCAAACCAAATATGTTCATTTAATATATTAAAAGAAGGAAAATATGAAGTTCTTAGTTGAAACTCAGGGCAGGGTGGCATCAGAAGACTGCAATTCCACTTGTCAAAATTGTGTTTTCACTTCAAAATACAAGATTTCCTGTGATTGACAGGAAAAAGTTGATTTTTATAGTTGACAGAAACCATAGGTTGGCCCATAAGCACTGGTCCTAAGTACCAACAGTAGTGCAAAAGACAACCATACTTCCTTTGAATAAAATTCTAAATTTAGAAAAGGTGCACTGAACTTCTCTAACTGAAGTAAGATGAGATTTATTTTTCAATGAAAATGTGCTTTATGTCAAAGTTTTCCATCTGTGAAATGGGAATAATTTCCTTTACTTATTTTATGGAATTTGTGTGAAGGCCCTATCACTGTTGTATTATCTATGGCTGCAAGATGTGATAGGAGCGCCAAATGTTATAGGCTCGATTTAATGTAGCACTTTATCTTCTGGATAATCCTCTTGAATATGTATTTAGCTACAAACACAAGACTGCATTTTCTAATTAGCTGCAGACATATTTTTTGGGCATGTGTTCTAAGTGTTTTACTGAAATGGAACTGTATTATTATTATTTTTATTTCAGTCACACCATACTGTGACCTGTGGTAGATCAGAATCAAAGGACTTGGTTTGAAGTATACCCTTCTCCACATAGCAAATGGATTTTTATAATTATTAACAGATAGAAACTCAACGTTAAGCTGTTCTGTATGCTGAAATTTCTTTCAACACCAGACAAAAAAAGAATGATACAAAATACATTCATTGGACTAGATTTTGGGGGAATGGTCTTTCTACTCACTGAATTATTACAACATTGTAATATCACTCTTGATCTATATGGATTGTGATAAGGTCATCTATTCATTCCATTTCATCAAAGTCTACACAAAACCAAACAGCAATACTTTAGTTACATTTTGAATACATTGCACTGAATATTACTCTGCTTGATTGAAATGACTAACAAAAACTACAATTCCAGGAAAAAAGAACTTCAGTCAGAAAAAAACAAATAATAGATCATCAAAGCAAAGAGAAAGCCTTAGAACCCTTAAAAATGGAAAAGGACCCTTTTTGTTTCTAAATTTGATTATAATTCCCAAGAGATAGCGGAAACTGATTACAAGTTTTTCAATTTTCCTTTTCTTTAAAACCATTACTTAGTTTTGCATTGTCAACATAATTTGTGGAACAAGGAAACAATTATATACCTCACAGTAGAAATAAGAAAAAAATGGTCTGCTGATTTATATCTTACAAAAGAAAATAAAAACTTCTCTGGAAAAACTAGCTAGTGTATAATAGTTCAATGCAATTAAAAAAAAAAACCCAAAAGTAAAAACCCTTCCAAAAATCTTTTAAATCCCAAGATTACAGTTTGTGTGTTAGCACCATGAAACACTTACCTAAGTATTAAAGGTGCTAGTAAACCAAACGTTGCAGCATTTCCTGAACTTTCTAAAAGACACCTAAAAAATGAATGCCTACATCAATTTGTTCCTTTTTTTTTTTTTAATGAAGATGTGAAAAAATTCAATAAATAGCACATTTGTAGAACAATTTAAAATTTGGAGAAAAGAATCTCTGCAGAATACTGACTGAGGTCTCAGTACATATATACATTTAGGAAGAGAAATACAGTACAGCTAGAAGACACACTAGCTTTTTGTTTGCTCATTTGTTTTAGAATTTTTGTATATTTAGGAGAAAAGCAAGGGTTGAGTTGATTTAAATACAGATTGGTCCATCAGATATGAAAGACTGAATGAGATACTTTCTTGGGGAAGAAGCAATAGCCAGGCTAGGTAGCTGAAGAAGGATTGCTACTGGAAGTGGTGAGCTCAGTGGGCTTAGAGCTGCATTACTGTCATTTGCATGGGTTGGGGATAACAGGAGGGCAAGCTAAAAAGTAAGTACTAATGAATATGAAAGAGAAAGAGGAAAAGACAAAGCAAAAGACATTTAGGAGGAGAAAGAAATTTAGTAAGACCAAAAATAAAGATGCAGGAGAAGATACGAAATTAAAATGAAAAGAACAAAAGGAAGGACACTATACAAGTACATAAAGAGGGAAAAATCAATGAAAAAATATTTGGGAGGAAAAAATGCAAAGAAAAGAAGATTCCAATTCTATATTTGCCTATAAGGACACAAAGTCCTTAAAAAAGTAAAGAAGGAAAATAGAATAATTTCCTTTATCAGAATCAGTGTTTGATTAACTTATGCATATATTGAAAAAATAATAAAATTATGCATCTTTTTATAGAGACATTAAAAAATCTAATATATTTTTAAATTTCTTTCCACACATCTTTCTTACTGACTAGTTTATTTAATGGTCATTTAGACCACAGAAATGGAGAAAGAATAATTATTCAGGTCAACAAAAGTCTGTATGGAACAAAAGCAACCAAGTATTGGTACTCAATGACAAGCTGTTTGTGGTTCCTAAGTAGGCTACTGAGATTTTAATTCTCATGTCTCAGAATGTGGGTGGGAATATTAGTCCTGGGATAAAACCTGTTCTGTTACTTGGATTGAAAACTGCCATTTGAAGTTTTAAGGAGTGCTCAAAAGGCATAACACTACAAACTGTCCCATTCTCAGCATTGCTTTCACCATTTTGTTCCCATACTGCATAATCAATTTGAGACTGCTATTTGAAGCTGCATGGAAAATTACCCATACATCTGGAAAATTACCCATACATCATCGATGTATTATTAAGTTTCTAACACTTCCAAAAGTTCCTGTAGGAACAAAATGAGCAATGGCACTCATTATGAGGAGATAAAACAAGTCACTAACAAAATGTAATCCAATCATAGCAAACAAATGAAAGTTCTTATTTGCACTTATTGTCTTCCTACAGCAATAAAGCATCTAGATGCTTCAGTGACTGGAAACTTAACATGTGGTACATTTAATAAAGCAATCAGGACATTTTGTATATAGTACTTTTAGTTAAACAGTTATGAAAAGTAAATGATGCAAAATGCTCCAGAGGGAATTGAAGAATGAAAATCAAGTTGATCTCTGATGTATGACATGTCAGAG